AAAAAAATACGAATAAGATAGAGAACGGGTATAATAAAGAATGGAGGTAAGCCTTCCACCGTGTCTCGGATTCATTATGTTAACGGTGTTTGCCATCATCAGGCAGTTAGTAGCACATGTAAATTGACGTTCATTACACTATTGTATCTAAAATAATACGTGTGTGTGTATATTATCTTGACTTAATAGATAATTACCTCTTTTAATACGTAGTACGTTATACTAAATCTATGCTTTAATATGACATAAAACGACAAATCCTATAAGTGGATTTTTTATTAAACCAACAATGAATTCATTATCCGTTATTCGTGTTAAGGCGGTTGATAGTAAAAAAAAAATATATCATTATACATAAATGCCCATTCTCCAAACAAGAATTTCATCAGATACTTTTTGCTGGACCGCAATTTTCGGAACGCGCCACCATCATTTCGAATCGTTCTCGCGGGAAAAACTATAAAATGGCGGACAACCGTCTGATGCAAATTGCACGCGGAAAAACTTTAGGACGGGTAAAAAGCTAAAGGAACTCATAGTATTTCATCGACGTCGCCAGTTATTGAGCGGGATAGAGGTTTTTGCTTGAATTCCCTCGTTCGAGGCACGGCGACTTTTTGCTAGGCTCTCAGAGTCTGGGAAGCGCGCCGCTTCTCGTCGCGGGCAAAAAGCGATGAGGGCCGCCACAACGATGGTAAGCGAGGCAAAAACAATGCGACATACGGATAGAATTAATGCGGCGACTCTTTAATTTTCTTCAAGAAAGCGCGGGAGGAAATGGCGTAATGAGTGTTGCCAGACGCAAAAACTATCTGTAAGCAGTATAATGGCGTTGCTCTTTTTATCCGGTTTAATTTTCTTTTCTTATTGATTGACGATAAATTATAATAATTGCGTAATCACAATATACACTAATAAAATATATAATATTCATATAAGTGAATCTGATTGGAAATAATCACTTTGAATAAACGTTATTAAATTTTATTTTATCTTAGTGGTGATATCTACTTAAAACAAGCATTATAGAAGTGATAAAGTAAAATAAATTAACATTTCGATTATAATATGTTTGAAATATACCTAATAAAGTTAAAGACTTTCCTATATTACATATTATCTCATTTCCACAGCTTTTAACTTAATACGAAGCAACGTTTAATGAGATCCGATAATTTTTTTGTGCATCTTGGAATAACAAACTAATGAAAAGCGATAATCATCGCTCATAGACTTGAAATGCACTATGGACGTCGCAGAATACACTGTGACGCCCATACCGCCCATGCGTTACTATTGCCGAGGATTCCTATTAACTATATACCTTGTAATTTTACTATCATGCAAGCGTAGAAATAAAACGCAAAAGGTTTTCAAAGATTACAACGAAAGTTTAATATTTATGCCTTTATGTAAAATAAACATTAGACGTACGGATGATAGCTGATTTTGGCAGCTTTAACTTTTATTATAACATAGCAATATTATGTAAGATGACCGTCCACTAGATGGAGTGACGACTTCGAATGCATTGTAGGAAGGCAGTGGATGCAGGTGGCTCAAATCATTCTTATGACAGTCTATAGGAAATATCTATGTTCAGTAGTGAACAGATAACGGCTGAGATGATGATGATGACGATGATGATGACGATGATTGTATTAAATGACAATTTTAGAATCGAAATTAATATAATCATACAATTTCTATTAATATTATAAATGCGAGAGTTCTTAAAAGTATTTTATGAATGTCGTTCAATCGCTGCAACAGCTGAACGCGTTTGTATGAAATTTGGTACACGAATAGATTATGGTATATCTTAAGGGGGTATTCTAGTGTAGAGGCGTGAATTTGAGGTGTTTTGTCGGATGCAATAAATAAAAAACAAAAAATATTTTTACTATCCATTTTTTAACAGGCGTTTATTAATGTTTTAAGAATAAAAAAAAAAGTAAAAAAAAAATACAAAACTGAAAATGTTATCTGTTGTTGAAGTGGGGGATACCAAAAAAAAAAAAAAAAAAAAAAAAAAAATGGCGCGCCAATCTTGTCACGATTGCAAGCTTTCTAATGATCTACATTTCTGATTCATGTGGGCAAAACCACGGTAAACAGCTAGCTAAGTGGTTGATCATAAAATTATTTTTACACAAAGGAGTATTTAGAATGGGGCCAGAAGGACCGTGCCCAGCCAAGAATTCTGTGGTACCCCATAATAAGGAGCCTATCTGCCATAGACAAAGTCACGTCTGAGAAAACATATTGTTTTTCCTTCAAGAGACCAGGCCCTTGAAAAATAATGGTACATACGCTAATACACCGTGTAGTCCTGGCATAGAATAGGCCACCCCTTCTTTTCCCGTGGATATCGTAAGAGACGACTATAGTAAAGCAAGGGATAGGCAGCAGCGTCCATCTTAAAACATCTCCAAAACCAATCCTTCTGCCAAATTCTGCCTTCCTTCCTTCCTTCTTAATGCCTTCTGGCAACTATTAGCAAAACACAAAAGGGGAGGCTTATATACAGCAGTGGGCAGGTAGAAGCTGATATGGTGATACGACTATGGTTTAACAACCCATACCAAGCTACAACAAAAAACAAAATATAAAATACAAAGTTTAAATAATTCACAAACAACAAAAATAGACTCATTTGTCACAATATGTGGCGTTTAGACGCTGAATGCCCTTAAACGGTTAACATCGATTCACGATTATGCATGCGAAACACATTGGCCTCCTTTTACTGTCGGCCGGATCGGATAAAAAAAATAATGATGTAGAAACTACATGTCCTAGACGCGATACAATGGAGAACACACGGCGCTGTTCTGGGGCCGCGCCCGTTCCTGAGGGCCTACTAAGAAATCTTTTTCGAAATTTCTGAGCCAAACTAAATACAAATTTTATGTTAAAATTACATAATACATGACCAGAGGGAGACTTTGTACAAAAATCGATTGCTTGGGTACCTCGGTCCCATTCGTGTTTCAACCGTGAAGCAGTTGTGTTTGCATGGCTGTGTTTCGGTTTGAAGGGTGGGATATGGCGTGAATTTACAGGGTACAGAGGAATAACATTTGAGTCCTCAGGAATGGCAACGCATGGGGGGGTATCATGGGCGAAACAGTATACTCTGTTATGTCCATGGTACTGTTCATGTCCGTAGGCGACGGTAACCACTTTCCATCAGGTGGGCCGTCAACTTGTTTGCCATTCTAAGTTGTATAAAAAAAAAAAACATAATACATGCCGTTTGGAAATATTAAAAATGTTAAAATATCGTTCCTTTGAACTTTTATGATAGGATGTATGACGAACGAAATGTTAAACTCCTTTTATTGATCCGATTTTGGTATAAACAAAAACACGAAATTGAGTCCGAAAACCAGCTGACCATTACATCAGTAATGGTCAGCTGGTCCTATGTAATATTTTTTTTTTTTAAGTTGTAACTAATTATACAAAAGTGTAAGTAGTACGGGCTCTAAGGATTGGGGGAGGAGGCAGTGATGGGGCAATTACTGCTGGTAAGGTAGCCCGTAGCAAGCGGCTGATGGCAATCAGCATCAGTTATCAATTAGAAAGAAAGAAATCTATTTATTTGAGTAAAGTTAGATTAAATCATTTTTTAATAGTCGCTTTTTCGTGATTCTACCACCCGTTTGAAATGCAATTTCAACCAAGAAGAACGAGCAAGAAATTCAGATGTTGTTCTTTTTTAATTTATTAAATAAATTATGAATTTGTATTCACATAAACTACTAAACAGTATTATTATAATTTCAGCCGTTAACTGTCCACTACTGGACATAAACCTTCCCCTTAAAGGGAGTTTTGCCAGTAGTTTCCACGCTTGGCAGGCGGGTTGGCAACCGCAGTTAGACTTTTAGAGATGTTTTAAGATGTCTCACCCTCACTTATATTACAAGATATTTTAAGGGGGACGCTGTTGCCTATTCCTCGCCCTCTTTTAGTTGCCTCTTACGACATCCACGGGAAAAGAACGGTAGGCCCATTCTATGCCAGGGCACACACGGGGACAGTGGAGGAGTTAGGTATGTTTAAATATTTATATATATATATACTACTACAGGATATAACATATAAATATACTACTTTTTATCCCTGTCAGAGAACATATCATGGTCACGCGAAAGAAGTCGGGGGTAAAATAATAAACTTTACTTTCTTTAAACAAAATTAGCTTATTGTACAATATAGTTGACCCTACACTAAATAGTAATATATAACAGTATACTCTGTTATGTCCATGGTACTGCTCATGTCTATAGGCGACGGTTACCACTTTCCATCAGGTGGGCCGTCAGCTTGTTAACCATTCTAAGTTGCATAAAAAAAATTATAAAAAAGAAATATATTCACAAATATGTTTCTTTTTATAAAACTTATTTTTTATAAAGCTTGATGAGGTAATGACGTAGTTAGAAGCGTTTATCGACAGTTTTGAAATTTATTAAAAATAAATATAAAAGAAAACATCCAGACAGAAACAATAAGTAGATGTATAAAAATATTTGTGAGTAAATCTCTTTACCAAAACCGTAATTGAGGCAGAGCCAAAAACGCCTGCAGTTATAATCATAGCAAAAAAAGCACGGATTTGGATTGCTCTTGGTTTTTTTGTGGTAGAGTTCAACCGCCTTCAAAAAACGAGGGAGGTTTTGTTTCAAAATTCTGTATACCAATTTGTAGAATAAATTTTTTATCTGAAAGAATATAATTTCAGATTAGTCACAGAATTTTATAAAAATTGGTTTAACAGTTTTTTAATCGAAATAACTTGTCTCGCTATAGCTAAAGTAGGTGTTTTTCTTTCTATTATTATGGATAGCAATGAAATAGTAGCTTCACCTGTGCTATTAGAGATGCTTCTAAAAGTATTAATAGATAGACATATCCCTATTGATCAATATCTCTCAGATACAAAAATGCACCACTAGGAGTAGATACCTACTCAAAATAAATACAAAATACCTATTTATAGATTTTTATTTATTGTGGCTTTTTTGAAATAGCAAAGCATCACACAAATGCAAAATATTTTAGAAGCTAATGGTAGATAATGCTCATTCAATTCACTTGATAGTATTTCATATGTTTTTGTGAATTCCATAAGTCTTTCTTTATCTACTCTCTTAATTGCTAGTTTCTGATCTTGTTTTATCAGTAGACCTGGAACTTGGCATTTTCCTTTGAAAAAGTTAGCAATATTGATTCCACAATTTGTTCCATCTATGACAACTCTGGTAGAAGGATGATTCTTTTGAAATACATCTGGCATGTAAACGTTAACCAACTCTTGACTTGGCCAAATCTCGAATAATTGCCATATTTCACTTACAAAGTTTATCCATGTAACAATTATATTGGCCGCTTCTGTTTCGCTAACACCAAACATTTTTCCAATTTCAAAATCGTGCTTATTTCTTCTTAATTTTATAAGCAACATTAAAAATAAATCTTTGACAGATAAACCAATTTCTGTACCCTGTGTATGTTCAATGTTATAAGCCATTGGTAATAAAGTTGACAGTACAATAGTAAATTTGGGATAAGATTCTAAGCCTGTAAAAAAATCTATTGATTCATCATCAGATAACAACACCTCTGTTGATAGTGACCTAAAATTATTTGGGGTCTGTGTTGCTATTGTAATATTTTTTATTTCTGATGTAACAAATGTATTTTGGGAGACACAACTTTCCTTGTCATGTGTGATATCAATATTGACAATATTTCCAGAAGATTCTTGATGTGTACCATTCAATATTTGTAAAGACGGTGGCTCATTTGAAGAACTTTTTCTGTTATCTCCAGTTGGCAATCTTTTTTCCCTGGATTTTACTTTTCCTGATTTTACATTCCATGGAAAAAGTGATGGTACAGCTGATTTCTTTAGTGTTCTGCGCTGATGATGTAGTCCTGTAAAAGAAAGAAATATTAGTGTTACTTGTGAGGTACCACAAGAATAAAAATAAAACATGTACATTTTTTATACTTTTTGACTTATTAGTGAAAAAGTATGAAATTTAGCAGATTAGTTGATCAATGGGTACCCTTAGGATACCATCGGGGAAAACTAAGGAGGGTGAAAACACCTATAGTGAATTTGATTGCATAAAACATGAAAATGAGTATAGATGAAAAATTTTTCAAGAATACGGATAGTATATATAATCATTACAAAATATTATCTACCTGTATGTATACTAATCGTCAAATAATCGCTTTCCAGGAAGTGTTTTCGACATATTTTCGTTGTTTTGGTTGGTATTAAATTAATACGACGTATTGCCTTCAGCCACCGCTTTTTCATTACAGAGTCCTTGGGAAAGATGTGACAGCCCATTTCGGAGCAACCTAGCACACAGCAGCAAGTCATATCTGTATAAATATTTACTTATAAAACAATATAAAAAAATATATAAATATTTCGATTTTGAACTTTATTTATTTCAAAACAGTAATTTTTTTTTTTTTTTTTTTTAGTACGTTTGTTCCGTTTGGAACAGGCTAAGGTCGGAGACCATGCTGCCTAGTCTTCAAAAAGATAATTTGTCTGGAATTTTATTTTTCTAATGTCGCTTCAATTATTGTCATAATCTTCAATATTTCATTTGTCAAATCCGGTAAGTACATTTTCATAAATATCTTTTCTTGAGTTTTCTTAAACCAGTGGATTTATCAAATTAAAAATAAATAATTATAAAAAATCATTGTCTTGCAATTCAATAAAAGTATTCTTATAGCTCCTTGAATGTTGTAGTAATATAAGTGAAAATAGCTTTGAAACAAGAAGGAAATCTTAAGAGAAGCGGGATTGAGTGCGGGATATTTTCGGGTTTTTTGAAGATAATCCTAAGTTCGTCAGACATAATGTGTCTTTGAATGACAAATTCAGAGCAATCAAAAAAAAAGGTGATGTAGAGATTGGGCTGTATTTGAGTTACACCATGTGCATGATGGGGAAGCGATCATGCCCATTCGGTGCAGGTGTTCGTTGAAATGTCCGTGGCCGATTCGTAATCTACAAATATTGGTGTAAAATTTTCTGTTTGTGTCCTTTCCTTTGCAGAACCACGGTTTTCCAATACGCCAATTAATTTTGCGGTACCATTTGCCTTTAGTCTGTAATATTTGAGTCCAATGCTCCTCCCATTTAGTTGTAACGATTTTATGTATTCCAATACTACAATCTGAGTAACAAAGGGGTAAATCTTGAACACGAGCAGCACTTGAATTAATAATTTTAGCCAAAGTGTCTACTTGTTCATTCCCAAACACTCCAATATGTGAAGGGGTCCAGATGAAGATAATATCTTTTCCATATATAGTACAGAGATGATAATATTTATTACGAATTTCTTGAATTAAGTAGTTTGATGATGAAATGAATGTGTTATTTTTTAATGCCATAAGAACACTCATACTATCTGTAATTATAATCCATTTCGAATATGGTACCTGTTTTTCTATGTATTCTAATGCTAAAAATATAGCTTTTGCTTCTGCTGTGTAAATACTAGCCAAAGTTGAAATTTTATAACCGTGACCAAATCTATTTGACAAATCGTAAAAAGCCACTGAAGTGCTAAGTGCATTTTTGGAACCATCTGTATATATCTGCCTGTAGTCAATAAATTCTGATAAAGTCTCATACATATCGTGCTTTTCTTTTATGTCTTTACGTATAACAATTTTGATCTTACAGAACTTACTCTCATAAAGGCCATTATAACAAGGAAGTATCTTACTACTATAGATGTTATATTCATCTCGTAAATTCAAATCATTGACAATAGTTTTATTCAAAAACATAGAAATGGGGCAATTTAATAATTTGAGTATGAGTGGGTTATTGGAAACTGAAAAAACTTTGAAGAGAAATTTGAGTTTTAGGTATTCGAAACGAAGAAGGATAGGAGGCAAATTACATTCTACTTGCATTGAGATAATTGGAGAAGTATACATAGCACCTAAAATAAGTCTTAAATTCATATTTTGAATTTTTTCGAGTTTTTCTACTAATTTATGTTCTGAGGCATAACAAAAGAAAGCGTAATCAAAATTACTTCTAACAAGAGATTTGTAAAGTAAAAGGATAATTTTAGGATCAGCTCCCCAGTTACGACCAATTACAGATCTTATTATATTAGTGGCTCTTAAAGCACGATCTACTAAGCAATCAACGTATAGATCCCATTTTAAATTTTGATGAAAAATTACCCCCAGAAATTTAACGCTACAGTCTGTTGGAAGAGTTTGATTATTATATATAATATTCATTAATGGAACATATTTATGAACTTGATGAAAAACAACTACTTTACTTTTGGTTAAACTAATATCGAGGGAAAGAAGAGAAAAATATTTCTCAAGTCTTTTTAATGACTCATTTAACACTAATTGCATATCAATAATATTCTTTCCTTTTATATAAATTAATAAATCATCGGCAAATTGCAAGTTGTTCACACTGTTTCCTAAAATTGAATTAAGTTTATAGATATATAAAATATATAGTAGCGGGCTTAGAATACCACCTTGACATACTCCTTTAGAGCTTAACCTAGGTCCTATTAATTTACTATTTACTTTAACATACACTTCTCTATTACTAAGAAAATTATAAATCCATTCGATAAGTTTCATTGGAAGAAATGAGGATAAAATCGAAGATAGAACTGTTAAATTTACATTGTTAAAAGCTCCTACGACATCTAAAAAAACAGATAGAACATATTCATCGTTATTCAAAGCAGTACTAAGGTCGACATAGAAGTTCGCTAAACTTTCGCGCGCTGAATATCCACGGCGAAAACCAAATTGATTCGATGGTAATATACTATTACTTTCAATAAAGAACTCTAAACGCTGTTTAATTAATTGTTCGAATAATTTGCCTGCACAGGACGTCAATGTTATAGGTCTATAGGAGTCGAAATTTGTAGGATCTTTACCGGGTTTAATTACTGGAATCAAACAATCCATTTTCCATTCTGGTGGGATAATACAGTCCTTCCATAAATCGTTAAAAATTTGTAAGAGTTTAGTAAGGTTTATTTTATTCAGCAATCGAAACATATTGTATGTTAAGCGATCAAGGCCACTAGCTGTATCTTTTCTAGATTTTACTGCACTGGATATTTCATCAATTGAGAATGGGTCAGTGAGAAATTTTGGGCATGAATTAACAGAATTAAACTGTTTGTCATCAAAAGATGAGTGTACAAAATCAGGAGTATATTTGCGTAAAAAATCATTGACCCATGATATATCTTTAAAATGATTTTGACGATGTTTTGAATTTAGTTTTCTCATATTTTGCCAAACAGTGGAAATTGGTGTTAATCTATTAAATTTGGAACAAAATTCCTGCCACCCCTGTTGTCTTACTTGCTTAATTACTAACTTTTTAACAGCTTGAACTCTTTTAAAATTTATGTAATTATCGAGAGTTGGATTTTGTTTAAACCTAAGGTAAGCCGCTTTACTATCATTGACAGCTGTCGCACACCTGTTATTCCACCAAGGTACTGCAATATGTTTGTGCCTCTTTGAAGTATTTGCACCGCTATTTGATAAGTTCCTACGTGGAACGGAACGTTCCACAGCTGTCAAAATAATTTTACAGAACCTATTGTAATTGTTTAAGGGTTCATTGACATCATACTCGAAATCCAAAAGTAATCGATTAACAGTTTCAGAATAAAGATCCCAATTAACGAGACGTAGGTTTATACGATTTAACAAAAGTTTATTAACTTCATCTATAGGAGCATGTTGTTCACCTGACGGAGTTGATGAAGAGTTCTTTGTGTTTATTTTAGTAAAAGTCGGCAGGTGATAACTTCCTAACGGATCATCATGAACCGACCACTCGCATTTTAATGATATGGATGTGGATACCATAGTTAAATCAAGGCCATTGGGTCTCCAAATATGAGAGCCAACAGTAGTAACTTGCTTATCATTTAATAGTACCAAATTACATTCATCTAAACAATCAAGAATGTCTTTACCTCTTGTATTAGTGGAGGTACAACCCCACATAGTATGATGTGCATTTAAATCTCCAGATATGATAGTGGGTTTAGGAAGAGACTCCAAAAAGAACTTAAATTTGGCTTTAGTAAAACTAGGTGTACTATTGGTAGGACAGTAAATACTGGCAACTGAATACCAAGAATTATTAACTTCAATACTAATAGCTATAGTTTGCAAAGAATTGTCGAAAAAAGAGTGAAGTTTTTTATATCTAATACTATTATGTATAATAATCGCTACTCCATTGTGGTTATTACCACAATCATTTCGTTCTATACAATAATCTTTAATTTTTAATTTGTAATGTGGTTTTAGCCAAGTTTCTGAGATGAGAGCAATGTGAATATGATGTTCATTTAAAAATTGTGTAAAAATATGTCGATTGCTCAGTAGGCTCTGAGCGTTCCACTGTATGATAGTTAATTGGTCTCGATTGAATTTTGTGAAATAGGTCTATTACCAAAAGTATCATATAACACATTCAAAACACTTTTAGTGTTAATAGATGTGTTCTTTGTGTTATGTAGTGAAATAAGTTTGATTATGCTTTCTATTAAAAGTGATAAACTCTTGTTATCAGAATTTAGAATTGAAATAAGGTCTACATTTTTTTTAGGTTTGTTACCCAGTTTAGGAAATATTTCAGTGCTAAGTATATCTCCAAAAGAAGCAGGTCTGAATTTAGATCTATTTTCAGCAATTTTCTTTTGTTTAACAGGGCATTGCGGTGATACACTTGTGTGATTTCCATTGCAGTGTACACAAATAGCGTTTTCCATTCCAGTTGTACAAGTTTTATAATTATGCTCACCTTTGCAGATGCTGCAACGCTCAGAATTCTTACAGAATTTAGCTAAATGTCCATACCTCAAGCACCGGTAGCATTGTTTAACTGGTGGTATATATGGAGTGACATTGTGGCGCCAACCTCCAATATCCAGATATTCAGGTAATACAGATGCAGCAAAAGTAATTGTCACGGTTAGAGTTGGCTGTAACACATATCCATGAGTCAAGGTATTTTTTCTTAAAATTCTTTTAATAGCAATAATTTTCTTAGAACTCGATATCATAGTATATATTTTTTTATTAGATATATTTGTAGGTACATTTCTAATAACGCCTGTAACTTCTGTTGAAGAAGCAGGAATACTGGCCTTAAAATGGTAGTCATTTAAAAAAGTTATATTATTTAAAAAAGCATTGGCTAAGTCTGGCTTTTTAAAGTATACTCCGATTTTGAATTTATTTATAGATCTAAGATAAGTTACCCCTTTATTAAATCGGTTTAAACAGGAGGAGAGTGAGAGCAAGTCTCTGGATCCAATGGTTTTCTGACTATCTGAGGATTCTACAAAGACAACAAATTCTGTCCCAGGGGATTCCTCGGGATATCTTCTAATATAATCTGTGACGTAGTAAGGTTTATACTTATCGGCCTTATCAATTTCAGATTCTGAGTCAGTAGAAGTATCTTCCGAATATATATCCTTGTCATTACAAGGTTCATGGTCTACATCACCTGAATCGTCATCTTTTTTTTCCTTTTTCTACAACTGCGCTTCCCCATGAATGCTAATTATATTACTGTCGCTGAATTTAGTGAAAATATAATATTTTATTCAATAATAAGAATTGATAGAGATAGTTTTAATAAATTAATAAAAAAAATTTAAAAAACCCGCTTGTTCTTATTCGAGTTTCCCGCCTTTTTCCTCAAAACAGTAAACAAAACTGTCATTTAATGATTTGACGTTTGTATTGTTTTTTTAGTACGTTTGTTCCGCTATGGTACAGGCTAAGGTCGGAGACCATGCTGCCTAGTCCTCAGTATGATAGTTTGTCTAGAATATTTGTATTGAATAATCAATCAATGGGGTCAACTTTGAAGGGCTAATTCTCCATTAACATATTGTTTTGTTATAAGAATTGTTAATTTATAATTTAAGTATTTAAAATTTTGCATGCCTAATTGTGGCGAAATATGTAGACTTAATATTATTTTATCTATCTGTATATTTACCATATTTCTTGCAAATAAATATTCATTCATTCATTCATTCTAACTAACTTCTAAAATTAAAATTTCAACACAAAACAACAATTTTTGAACTTAGGTAAAGTAATTCGTAAAGATAAATCTAACTACCCGAAGATACTTATATACTACATTCACTACATTATACTAAGTCTCGGCTGATACATATTATTATTTCTGCCACAATTCCTATCAAGTAATTTTAGTACGTAATACGTTATACTAAATCTACGTTTATTAGTATATATTTTATTAAATGAATACAGATACACATATATTATTGATTGGTATATACTGGCAAAGCACTAATGGAGGTATTATAGGTAAAGTTCATAATAGGTCAGTTTTGATAAAATCAGAAAATAACCATATTAGTTTCCAAGAAAATTGCGTAGAGATTTAAACATACTTAAAATATAATATATAATGGCGAATGTACGGTACCTTTTAGAATATCAGTCAGCTGTCAGTTATATTTTTTACTAGCAACATTATAGATAAACTTCATCAAATGCGAAATTTAAATTAATTTGAAGTCTAACGATCATCCAACGTTTTATTTTTGATGTGAATCGTTTTGACGAATATTTTTCTATATTATTAAAGACAATTACCTTAATTTTGGTGATAGATTTATTTTTATTATATTGTTTATGTGTATCGTGTTAAGATGACGACTGAAAAAGTTTGTAGAAAGGACAAAAATCAAAACATACAAGTCTTCGTTCGACTACGGTAAAACGACGCCTATTTTACTTCCAATTTTCATACATATATCTATTGCACTAAAATATTTCATTTACTTAGTTTATTCTGTATAAAAAATATGTATATTCTGATTAATAGCTTAACTACTTTTACATAACTACTCCAGTATTTAGTTTTTATAAATATATTTAATAAAAAATAATTTATTAAATTATATAAATGACAATGCAAGCGGCTTACTAGATTTGCAGTGACTATTATATAACAATATATTTATGCTTATTTATTCATAACAATGTACATAATATATAATCAGAGTAAAAAACTACATGAAATAAATACAAACATGAATTATCCTGTATAACGCTGAAACTAGAATTTAAACATTATATTACTACATACTGGTATAAAACAATTGCCCAATGATTGTATTATCATTTAAAAAGTTTATCTTAGAATGCAAAAGGAAAAGACCATACTTTATCTTATATTTGTGTATGGGCCCAACCTACAAACTGCTGTACATCAAACAGTTGAAATGTTTTATGCTTCCCTCCAACTTATACTTTATAGATACTACTACCTTTCCAATATCTCACGATTTAAGTATCTATAGTCTCCTGCTACAGAAGAAAAGATACTGTTAGTGTGCGGTCCTACAGCTCAATTGCTAGCATTATATCTTATCATGTTGGTCTCTATGTGATTCCCCTTAGAAACCACCATGGTTTATCGTGGAAGTTTTTTTAACGGATGATAATGGAATGAAGGCCCTGCCTACACTAACAGTATTCGCTGGCGGGATGTGAGGGAGTGATCACTCACTATCACCAGTGAGGGATGATAGGTGAGGATGAAAAAGCAAGTCAGTTAGATTACCTTGATGAATACATCTGGAATTCAGCATGATGGTTTCCAGGGGGCTGCATGGATATCGACCTGACAGTGTATATTGGTAGCAATGAGTTTAGTAGTCCACATTACTAGCAATCCATCACACCCCCCCTTATGTCATGGGCTAACTGATCTTTTATTCTCGCCTCATCTGTCACTAGTACGCTGCCAGTGTATACTGATAGCGCAGTGGTGTTACTTTACCATTTTCATCTATTAACAGTCTTCGGCTGCTGGATAAGCCATTCCCAATAGATTCATATGCATACTTGCCAACAAATCACAGCTGCACATCAGTTGTACCATAGATTTCAATTCCTCACTGCATAATTTACATAGTGTATTGAAGACAGACCCATCTTGTATAGTATATGTCTTACCGGCATGTGTCCAGTTTAGGCACCCATTGTGAGTCTGCTTTCACTCTAGATGAGATTATTCACTATAGATACTTCCTACTTTCATTAACATATTAATGTTGGTTTCACCATCATTTCATAAACCCATCTCTTTATTTGTGGTTTCAGTTCCCATGTCTTGCTATACACAGATCTGCACATGGTTAGGACTCTAAATTCCTTATCCATAAAACTTAAACCTACAAACTTATTTTAGCTATTCAAGTGAAGTTGTTTTCACTTTTTTTTTTTTTAATTAAGAAGCGAAACAAAAAAAATCACACTTCAATAAGTAAAATAGGTTTATGACTGATTTAATATTTTTATGAATAAGTTATGTTTTAACCACAGCCTCATCTGCATGCTATTTCAATATAATTTTCACCTATGAGGAGCCAGACAGCCTTATCCAATGCTGTATTGTTGATGATTGAGTAATATTTGCAGGCCACTAAATCAGCGGGAGCGTGACATCAAGTCCTTGGGGGTGGTGGAAGTAGTAAACAGCCGTGAGGTGGTGGTAAAGCAGTCACAGCAGACTTCACTCACTAAGAAGTTCACCTTTGACCGTGCATTTGGACCACATGCTAAACAGGTATTGTATAATATGTGAAATGATTTGTCTTTGAAATTGATTAGAAATACCAATATCATCACATATTCATCCCTCACTGCTGCCCTGCGTGCATAAACTGCGCGAGTGAGGTTACCATTCCATTTTGATCCATTAAAAAATATCCCATTCAGCCTTTAAACATATCTATGGTAATTTTATATAAGTCATAATGAGTAATATTCACCCATAAACTGTTGCTGTTCCCAGGTGGAAGTATACCAGGATGTGGTGAGTCCGCTGATAGAAGAGGTCCTTGCGGGCTACAATTGTACCGTGTTTGCCTATGGGCAGACCGGCACGGGCAAGACCCACACCATGGTTGGGGAGAGCACCGGTGATGAGACCACTTGGCAGAGTGTGAGTGAAGCATTTTACCCATTTACAAAATATTTGGTTATATATATATATATATATATATATATATATATATATATATATATATATATATATATATATATATATATATATATATATATATATATATATATATATATATATATATATATATATATATATATATATATATATATATATATATATATATATATATATATATATATATATATATATATATATATATATATATATATATATTTTATAGTTTTCAAAAGAGAGTGGACTTCAGGCAGCCGGCCGTTCATAAAACTATAAGCCAAATCTTTTTTGTAATATGAATAAAAACATATTACGTTGACCTCAAATAATAATTGGGATAAGAGTAGGAAGGTGATGATGATATATTTTTTATAGTTTCATGTTATTAATATTACTATTAAAATTGTACTAATTACAATTCTATCTGATCTGTGCATGGAAAGTATTTAAGAAAAAATTATATAAAAGGTCATAATAAGAGGAATAGATGCCTAAATATCTTTTTTTATTTTAAAATTTATTTGTCTCTCTGTCTATTATATATATTTATATCTATTCTTTTTTTTCTACAACTTAGAATGGCAAACAAGCTAACGGCCCACCTGATGGAAAGTGGTAACCGTCGCCTATAGACATGAGCAGTACCATGGACATAACAGACTATACTGTTTCACCCATCGACTTTTGTTACAAAGTATCCCTCTGGTGAAATATCTATATTTGTTCTAGTGTCACGCAAAAATTACGTAACAAAATTGGATACAGTTTTCATAGTTGTGTTCCTGAAGGTTTAAAAACTGGTGTATGATTTATTTTGATATGTCATCTAGTCTATTAGATTACCTAGTAACTTTAGAAGCAGGTAAACTTTATTGGTTTTCCTACTTCTAAAATTCACGCATATGAAGGGACAAGCAGTAAGCTAATTAATTATAAAGCAATAGACACTTTTAAAGAAATAATACAAATTTTAATAAAATTCAAGTCTATTCACTACTTGGTTAGCTTGGTTGAATGAAAGACATTTTTAGACTTATAATTACTATGTATGACTGTAACTACTAATGAACTGTCACTTTTCTCATATTGGGTTTGCTGGAAGAAATCTCTATTGGTGATAACTTCGCCCTTGTGCACTATTATGTTTGTTTTTACATTTCAATAACCTTTTGTGTACAATAAAGAATACTTTTTTTCTAATTTTGACATCATAGAGAATATCAGTATATGGATATGACAATTCCTCCCACAGGACCCTCTGGCCGGCATCATACCGCGAGCACTGAGCCAGCTGTTCGACGAGCTGCGCATCTCCAACACGGAGTACACTGTCCGCGTATCCTACCTCGAACTCTACAACGAGGAGTTGTTTGATCTGCTCTCCTCATCCGAAGACAACTCCAAGCTGAGGATCTACGAGGACGTCACCAGAAAAGGATCCAATATTGTTAATGGCTTAGAAGAGATCACGGTATGTTTTAGAACATTTTTATTGTGTCTAATTATAAAATTATTTAAATTGGATTAGAATAGGGACCATATTTATTTAAATAAACTTGTTTACAAGCTCTTTAAATCGTAATATCTTTTATATTTACATATAATAAAGGTTGCCAACTCGCCTGTCAAGCATGGCAAGTACTGGCAAAATCTCCCCTTATAGAGGAGGCCTATGTTCAACAGTGGACAGTTAACAATTGATATGACAATGCTAAATTCGGAATATCCTTGTTTAACAAGAAGAATTTGTTACAATTTAACAGTTGGTAAACTGCTTAAGTACAAAACTATAATGTTAACTTATAATAATACTAACAACCTGGTCTTGCTTCGCACATGTACACCGAATTTTCTAAAATAATATATAGCCTATGTTACTACCTAATAAAGGAACTTTTTAAAGATGAAATAATTTTTAAAATGGGTTGGTTACATTTTGAGTTTAATCTAATGTATAAATCTGTAATCAGTCAAACAATTAAATCATCCTTCTTTATAATATTAGTATAGATGTATAAATAATAAAATTATTTAATCAGTCATAAGTAAAAATTTAATAAAAGCTTATAAGTATAAATTGGTCATGTGGTCCTGGCATAGAATAAGCCACCTCTTTTTTAGTTTAGTGGGCGTCGTAAGAGGCGACTAAGGGAGAACAAAGGATAAGCAGCAGCGTACCTCTTGAACGTCTCTAATGCCTAACTACGTTTGCTAACCCACTTGCTAAGCGTAGCAACTATGGGCAAAACCATCCAAGGGGTAGGCTTATGTTCAGCAGTGGACAGTTAAAGGCTGATATGATGACGATAAGTCTAATTATATGTTTTTTTTATCAGGTATACAACAAGAATGAAGTGTACAAGATAATGGCTCAGGGGCAGGAGAGGAAAAAAGTGGCATCCACACTAATGAATGCTCAGTCAAGGTAAATTTCTGAGTATTTTTTACCCCATAAATTGTCACAGAATATTGATGAATTGAAACATTGATATGTGTATTGTATTGATATTTTTGTATGAAACTTCAAACTAGCTATTTTTAACACTTGATTTGATGGTACTATCAAATCAAATAAAGCAATATTAAATGATGAATAGTGGAAGAAGCGAAAGAGGTTTGTTTGAATCGAAGCATTTGGCGTTCCATTGTTTCTGCCTACCCTAATGGGAGACAGGCGTGACAGATATGTATGTATCTAAATGATGAATCTAATAAATTTAGCAATTTTATTAATTTTTAATTTAATACAATATATTTTTTTTTTATATTAAATATTAATTTACTTTGCAGTAACCATCCCAGTGCTAAATATTCGTAAGTTTGTCATAAAAATTAATTTAATGTATGTAATTGTATTTTGTGTATGTTTCCTCTGACCATTGATAAATTATGAATTTTATTCAATACATCAATACATGTTTAAAAAATCAAAATTTAAGTCCATCACAAAATATTAAAGTTGACTATATTAAATTTCTCGTTGGATACTCCATTGGGATGGTTTCTGCAAATACTTCCTAAGCTGAGGAAGCATATTCAAGTAATTAAATAATATATACATGCATATATAATACATATATACTGATTTTTATTTAGTTCATTTGTAGATATCGTAGTAATTTTACATCTAATATATAAAATTCTCGTGTCACGGTGTTTGTTACCAAACTCCTCCGAAACGGCTTTACCGATTTTTATGAAATTTTGTATTCATATCGGATAGGTCTGAGAATCGGCCAACATCTATTTTTCGTATCCCTCAATGATAAGGGTGACCCACTAATAATTTTTTTTTTATTTATATTTTATTATGATTTAGCATTGAAATATACATACAAATTAAAATTTTCACGTTTTTACGATCAACCTCTGTTGTTTAATCGCAATTTTTATATGCCGCAATAGGGTTGCAAGATGACAATCGAATATAATAATTATAGTACGATATATTTTCATGTATAATTAAAAAAAAAATTATATGGTAAAACAACGTTTACCGAGTCAGCTAGTTAGTGTATAAAGTAAAATGCCTTTATTTCATGCCTTGCATTTTATATAATTAAAATCTATCATTATCTTCAACTTCCAGTCGCTCGCACACAGTCTTCACGATCGTAATTCACATGAAAGAGAACAGTCCCGAGGGCGAGGAGCTGGTGAAGATCGGCAAGCTGAACCTAGTGGACCTGGCCGGCTCGGAGAATATCAGTAAGGCGGGCTCGGATAACCCCGCCAAGAGGGAGAGGGCTAGAGAGTGCGTCAACATCAACCAGTCCCTTCTCACCCTTGGCAGAGTCATCACCGCACTTGTGGAGCGACATCCGCACATACCTTACAGGTGAGCCTTTTTTTTTTAATAATTGATACCCCACCCGCGCTATTGGTATGCACTGGCAAGGCGCTAGTGGAAGAGGTTAATACTCATTATTAACAATTCCTTTCCCCCCTTAAAGGTGAGGCTGCAATCTTCTATACTTATAATAAATTAGTAGAGAGGTCAATTCTGCACATGAAATATATTTCCAAAATAACTATCAGGGGGTGATTAGTGATCGATACTGATGCCAAAAATGAAATCAGTAAAATTTTTGTTAGTCTGTCTGTATGTTCGTTATACAAACAAAAACTTGATTGAGATTTTAACGAAACTTGGTACAATTATTCTTCATACTCCTGGGCAGGTTATAGTATACTTTTCATCACGCCACGATCAATAGGAGCAGAGCAGCGAAGGGAAATGTTGGGAAAACGGGAGAAGTTACTCCATTTTTAAGCTTCCGTCGCGCGTGCAGCCTTAATGGCCACTTTTTAAAATGTAAAAATGTCCACCCGTGCGACGCGGGGACGGGCCGCTAGTCATAAATAATTATACAGTGCAATAAATAAACATTACGTATATCACAAACTAAGCAGAGCTTGTACTGTGAGTATTAAAAAATGATAAACATAATGTAAACTAGTAAAAAATTTGAATTTGATTTCAAGTAAATCATCATAACAGCCCTTAACTGTTCTCTGCTAAACATTAGGCCTCCCTCATAAAGGACTAAACTATACATACATACATACATATCTGTCACGCCTGTCTCCCATTAGGGTAGGCAGAAACAATGGAACGCCAAATGCTTCGATTCAAACAAACCTAAACTAAACTATTTATGTATATATTAATGGTTGAGGGATGAGCAGCAGCATTTCTCTTAGAACATCTTCAAAAACTTAACTACAGTTGCCAGCCTGCCTGCCAAGCGTGGCAACTACTGGCAAAACCCCACTTATAAGGAAATCCATCTTATGAGAAAAATCTGTATGTTAAACAGTGGACAGCATAATGTAGATGCAGGTGGCTTAGGGCCATTCATTATGGCGGTCTATGGGGAGAGGTCTATGTCCAGCAGTGGACAGATAATGGCTAAGGTGATGATGATGATGATAGGCAATGTAATTACGATTGAAGTGAGGAAATATTTTTTTTGTTTTTACAGAGAATCCAAACTGACGCGCATTCTCCAAGAGTCGCTCGGCGGTCGCACTAAAACATCGATAATAGCCACCATTTCCCCCGGACACAAGGACTTGGAAGAGACTATGAGTACTCTGGAGTATGCGCACCGCGCCAAGAACATCCAGAACAAGCCAGAGGTGAACCAGAAGATGACCAAGAAGGCCATCTTGAAGGAGTACGCCGAGGAGATTGACAGACTGAAGAGAGATCTTCAAGCAGCCAGGGATAAGAGTGGTAACTATTGTATACTAGCTTTTATCCGCGACATCATTTCTGTGATATGTTTACTAATGAGAGAAACAGTAAGCTATCCTTGTCCTTTTCTATTCCATATAGTAGGTATATAACAAATTTTATAGTGATTAATTAATCCCTTAAAGTGCTAAGAGGTAACAAACAATCTCACTTTCACATTTATAGTATTAGTAAGGATTTTTTTTTTATAATCTTTATAGAGTAGTTTCATTTTTTTTCATAATTCTTTTTATAATAGAGATTACATTTGTATGTTGTATGCCAAATTTGGCAATAGTCTCTTATAATTATTAGCTAAAGTCAATATATATATTTTTTTATTATACTACTTAGAATGTAAAACATGCTGACGGCCTACCTGATGGAAAATGGTAACTGTCGCCTATAGACATGAGCAGTGCCATGGACATAACAGAGTATACTGTTTCGCCCATGATACCCTCATGTGTTGCCATTCCTGAGGACTCAGGTGTTATTCCTCTGTACCCAGTAAATTCACACCATATCACAGCTGTTTTATGGTTTTTTTTTTTAGGTATATAACAAATTTTGGAGCACCAGTGAAGGGTAATCGATGAGAATGAAAACATTAGCCCATCATGATGAATTCATCAGGAATTAACCATGATAGTTTCCAGGGGGAAAGGAGGTCGACCTGGTTGGGTATATTGCTAGCAATGGGATTCTCAATCTCCATTACTAACAATCCCTTTCCCTCTACTATTTTACGGTTGAAATATGAATGGAGTTCTATTCCTATATTTTAAATGTAACAGTTCTACTAAAACTATTATTTATAGTTATTTATGAATGTATTGTATGTGCTTTATGTATGTGTATTTTAGGTATTTATGTAATGTATGTTCATTTATCTTACTATGTATATATTAATGTTGCTATCTATCAACACATTTGTTTCATTTATAACTTAATTTAGTTTGCTACACCGCCATTTACTCACTCTGTTTAGCGCAACGGTTGACTGGTAGAGAATGACAGCGGGCATTAAGTCCGCCTTCTAGACATATTTGAATAATAATAAACTCTTTATTGCCTATAATAAACATGTATACAAGGAGTATTTATATAGAATGTGCATATACAAAAGGCGGCCTTATCGCTAAAAGCGATCTCTTACAGACAACCTGGATTTTAACGTGTGCAAAGAATAAATAAATGAAATATATTACATTCCCACATACTTGTCCTTAGGTGTTTATCTAGCAAACGAGACATTCGCCGAGATGACATTAAAACAAGAGGAGCAAAAGAAGGAGATACAGGAGTTGCTGCTCAAGAAGAAAGCGATGGAGGACGAGCGCGACCGCATGGTGGCCGTGTTCGCGGACTTGAGCCAGCAGCTGGAGCAGCGGGACAGCGAGCTAAACGATACCAGGAGCAAGCTGGACACCACCCGGCTCCAGCTGGTCAATACCAGCAATGTGAGTAGACAGTGCTGTAGTACTTGAGTAAGTGACTGGTATTAAAGCAGAGAGATAGTGAGTCGTAATAACATGGTAAAAAGCATTTGGACTCAATTGGCCGAATGGTACCTTAAGGGTATCCACTAATTAGGATATTTGATTCTGCTATTTTGTCAAGTTGTCAGTTGTCACTGGAAAATATTTGTATTATATTATTTTTTCAAATTTTATAAAAATTGAGCATCAGTTTACGTGTAATTGACAAGAGGTATTTCATGTCAAGTGTTATAAATTTATTATATCTTTTTAAATGTGTCTTATGCTATATTAGTTTCATACTTAAGGCATATTGTAATTATTAAAACGGAAAAAATAGAAGAAAAATGTTGTCTATTTAAATTATATTGTTTTTTTTTTTTTTACAACTTAGATTGGCAAATAAGCTGACGGTCCACCTGATGGAAAGTGGTAACCGTCGCCTATAGACATGAGCAGTACCATGGACATAATAGAGTATACTGTTTCGACCATGATACCTCACATGTTTATGTCCACATACTAAATACTATATATCAAGAAGAATCTGAAAGAAATAATACTTATTACTTACTTTTTTTTAAATAATTTTATCAAACAATTTGACTAAATGTTTAATATGTTTATAAACGAAATAAAAGGCAGATTTTAGTATCAATTGATAAATTTTTACATTTATTTTTTTGAATTTATTTAAAATCAGTGTTAAAGCATTAATAATATGCTGTGAATATTCATCACTCCTGCGTATAATGAAGCGTTTTCATCTGTAAAGCCAATGGACGACTGCTAAGTTATTAATAGACAATCACACAACATCAACCAGTCACAAGAGTCGCTCATCACGACATCGCGAGAACGCCAATCATAATGCAGGAGGAATTTACATGACCTTTCAGGTTTCAAACTGTAACTTACTTGCAAAACAAACTTTAGTGCATTATATCAAATTTATATTCAATACGACGCTTCAAAATTATTTATTTTTAGTTACCTCAGTTAAACTGCTTCAAACACTAGGTGTATTTATTCATCATCATTATATTATCCATTCATCATTAAAATGCAAACGCACATCATTAATATTTGCTCTTTCATTGTCAGTTTTGTCATGATGACGAAAGGTATTTTAAGTTTCGGCAAGTGCCGTAATAAGACTCACACAATATTTAGAAGATGTGGTAGATCGTCTTGTCACATTTAGAAATCAAAATGCGCTCAGGGTGGAGCCCCTGCAGCCAAGTTGCGGTCTTATCATTGGTCAGTGAAAGCCAAATGTAGGAAGACTACAGGAACTGGCCGTATGCGTCGTCTCAAGATTGTTAAAAGGCGTTTCCGCAATGGCTTCAGAGAACGCAGACTGACTGCCAAAAGGGCTGTAGCATCATCGTAGACCGTTCGTTGTTAAATAAATTAACAACCAGTTTGTCGACCTGCAACGGCGACTTTATCTATCAAGTAGATTGCAGGGCAGTAATATTAGTGAGTGGCGGCAGATGCTGGAGTGGACGCGGCAGCAGGTGGCCGAGCAGCAGCAGCTGGTGGCGGCGCACAGCAGCACCGAGCAGGTGCTGGGCGGGCAGGCGCGCGCGCTGCTGGGCGCCGCCGAGGCGGCCGCCGCGCACGCCGCCGCGCTGCGGGCCGCCGTCGCGCGCCGCGCCGCCCGCGACGCCGCCAACGCGGCCGCCGCGCGCTCGCTGCGACACCACGCAACCTCCGCCCGCCGCCGCCTCGCCCACCGCGCCGCCTGCGCCGCCGACAAACTGCGGCAGGCGCACCGGCGGCTGCACCGCACCGGAGGTAAACATCCACACGAGCCACACCCACCACACCGCCCCTGCCAGCGGCCACGGGGATTATTTTTTTATACAACTTACAATAGCAGAGAAGCTGACGGCCCACCTAATGGAAAGTGGTAACCGTCGCCTATACACATGAGCAGTACCGTGGACATAACAGAGTATACTGTTTCGCCCATGATACCCCCCATGCGTTACCATTTCTGAAGACCCAGATATTATTCCTCTGTACCCAATAAACTTCACGCCATATCCACTTATTAATCATTTATATAAGTATATACCTATGTAACACAATTTTATGTTTGTCTGTTAATCTGGTCAAGGTTATGCTGTGTTCAGTACACGACGCGTCCATGTAACCTAACTTCAGGCTGCAGCTGAAAATCATTGCTTTTAAACAAAACTATCACTGAGCTGTACTGGCCTATTTGAATCACTGCGACGCACACAGCGAAAACATATTTTCATATTTCATCTTTTGTTTTATATTAAAAAAAAAAGAAAAAAATATATAATTAATTTGATTGTATGAACTCATTTCGTAATTTACATGTGTCGTAAATGGCTCATATGTCTATCCATATAGATAAATAGATATCTAAATGGTAATCAGGTGTAGATCTATATGAGTACATATTATTTTAAAATTTTTTTATATATTTTGTAAATATAATGGCAAAAAAAAAAGACCCAAAGTTTTGACTAACAAGGATTTAATCTGAACTCTTACCCTCTATGTTGTTAACAGAAACTTTCACTACAAACACAACGCAAACACAAGAAGCAAATAAACAGAAAATGGAAGAATTAGCGCAAAGGATAACAGACATAATGACAGAGGTATATATTTTTTTATTTATATAATTAAACCAATAAAAATTATACTTTTTTTTACAAAATTTTTGTTTTCAATCAATGCTAATTGATAAGTAAAAACACATCGCTTTGATATATAAATATATATAATGAAATGATATGACTTTTTGGATTAAACAGTCTTAAAATTATAAACAAAGGTCACATTGGATGATACAATGGATAGATAGAGGTGTGCCACATGTTTAATTGTTTGCGATTCAGGCATGCAAATATTTATATTTTAGAAAAAAAGCTAAAAATAATACTCTTTCAAGAAAGTATAAGTGTGACATGCATAATTTCAGATCAAAGTAGCGGCATCGCAGGCGCAATCGGAGTTGTCTCAAAACGTGAGCTCACAGACTACATCGACGCAGGCAGCGCTGCAGCGCCACAGCAAAGCGCTGCAACGTGCACTGGAAGCGCTGGTGACGGCCGTCGCGAGCGGCCACCAGCGCGTCGCCGACCTCGGCCTCACCACTAGCGTCGCTAACTTCGTGCGACAGTGGGTGAGTTCCTCTCTTTCATCTATGTATCTAAGACTGATACTTTCAACTTTAGCTTTTCTACAGCAGAGCATTTTCTATAAACTACAATATAAAGAATAATCCAAGATATATTTCTTACATACACAGCACACAACAATTTCGTAACATCTTAAGTATTATATATTCATTATAAAAACATTGGGCTCCGCAACGGAGCCTGCGAAGTTACAGAACAAATGACTGACGGCTCCGTAACGGAGACAACGGAGCGCAAAGAGTTAAGAAGGATACTGTTGCCCATCCCTCGCCCTCCCTTAGTCTCTTACGACACCCATGGGAAAAGAAGGGGTGGCGTATTCTATACCAGGACCAGATGGTCATTTAATATAATGATTGTATTTTTCTGTGCCATGTGAATACTTCTATACTTGACATCTTGATGTATTGTTTTAACACGGAAGGCCCAAAATGTTTGCTTTCTTTCTAGCTATGTTAGTTTGGGAAAAAGCTATTACACAATACAGATCTCCGTTTACTTTAGGTTTATTATTGTCAAATATATAATTATATGTTGTAATGTACAATTTGCAGGAAGAGGGGGCTTCTGCCCGCGTGCGGTCGCTGCAGGCTGCGCACGCGGCGTACTGCGGCCGCGCCGCCGCCGCAGACAGCCGCTGCTCGGCCGCCACCACCACCGTCCGCGACCAGCGCCGCCAGCGGACTGCCGCGCGTGTCGCCCGCGTCAAGGACACCATAGCCGTCAGTATACACCTTAATTGATGTATATATACTCTTTTTCGATTTAAACGATTGGAATATAGAATTGCAGTACAGTATAGAGACAACACCATAGTTCGGATAGAAAGGGATTATTAGTAATGGGCTCTAATAGCCCTATTGCTAGCAATATCTGGTCCCTATCAGGTCTACCTCCACGCAGTTCCATGGAAACCATTGTGAATAATTCTTGTGGAATTTGTCACAATGGACTGACTGACCTGCTTTCATCTTCACTTATCATGTGTCTTTGGTCCCCTGCCAGTGTATACCGTTAGCACAGGTGGAGTTACCATTCCATCATCACCCATTAAAAAGACATCATGGTCGCCAGTAATAATAACGCATGGTAAGTAACATTTACGTCACTGCATTTATTGTGATTTCCACAGTACAATTCATGTCAGTGACAGTTTTTTTTTTTTTTTTAATGGGTTAAAAGTGAAATGGTAGCTCCATCTGCGCTATCAGTATTCTCTGGTTCTTCAACCAGTGACAGATAATAAGTAAAGATAAATTCAAGTTAGTTGGCGCAACCTGCCAAATACATTAGGAATTAACTATTACGATTTCTAAGGGAAACCACCAGAAAATGTGATAATGTATCGAACTAATATATTCTATATATACTAATTAGTCTTAAAAAAGTCATATTTATGTGTACAAATGAGAATGGAAGTTTTTGGTATTAATAAATTATTTAATCAAAATTCTACTACTCTTATCAAAATTCTACTATTCCTTCAGAAAATCGAAGAAGAGAAAACGTTAATGGAGGACAGACTTTCGAAAAGGCTCAACGATTGGGTGGAAACAGAAACTAGATTGTTAGAAGAACGACTAGCGCGCCACGCGGCCGCCGAAAGACAAGCATTAGACGACAGACTAAAGAAGAAGATGGAAGAGGTAGAGGAAGAACGGAAACTTCTAGAAGAGAGGATAACGGAGCATATACAACAGCAGAAGTTACAGTTAGAGGCTGATGAAGAAGAGATGAAGCAGATTGATGCAGATTTAGAGATGAGTGAAGAAGTGAAAGAAGAACGTGTAAAGAATATGAATAAATATGGAAAGGAATTTGAGGAAGGTACGTTTTTTGACATTCTTAATAGATAACATCAAATGTCGACTTTTTTTTTTAATTCAAGTAAACAGTTACATAGACAATACATATTCTTAGTGCCGCGAAACTGCATTGCAATTTGTCTGCAGCTTTAATTAACGTATATTTTTTTCATTTATCACACTGTAATTTCAGGAACAAGCTCCGTCAGCGTAGAGATGGAGGTGTTCAGCAAAAATGTGGTGGAAGTCGTGGACCACATCAACAATGAGCTGATGCAAGTGTTACACCAAGCCAAAGAACTTATTGAGGTAGACTATCTTAATATTTTGGCCTTCTGTCTTACCATCAAAAGAAAAAAAATCGAGTTAAATAACATTTTTTTTTTTTATACCACAAAGATAGTAAACAAGCATACAGCCTGATGGTACACGTCGCTGATTATTATAAAATACCATGATATTAATTATAACGGTTTTTTATGGTTTACAGGATTTCAAAATAAACTATTGGCATTTAGAATGTAATAATTTATGACAACATAGCAATCTTTTTAAATTCCTTCACATATTTTTTTTTTTTGATGGGTGTAATTGGAATTATAACCCCGCCTGCGTTAACGGGATACGCTGGCGGAGCACCAGTGAAGGGTGATAGATGAGAATGAAAACAGGCCAGTTAGCCCATCATGATGAATTCATCAGGAATTAACCATGATAGTTTTCAGGGGAACAGCGAGGAGGTCGACCTGGTTGGGTATATTGCTAGCAATGGGATTCTCAGTCTCCATCACTAACAATCCCTTTCCCCCCCAACCCTTCACATATTGCATTTGTATAAGTGGAACAATTAAAGACTCGAAAAAATTACTCGAAGAGAACTCTTAGAGTTAGGCTGGCCTCTGTACATTTGCTTACCTCTGACATTTTATTTATTTATTCATTAGTACATATATGTGTACATGGTGGTAATGTTAAAAGCATTCTCTCCCAGTCAACTATAGGGAAGTGTCAGAATACTCGAATGTGGTACTAGTAATTATTGATATACACAGATACTAAAATTACATATATAAACGTATAAATAACAAATATACTTACATATATATAAAATTTTCTATATTATACACGAAATTGAGAATAATATAAAGTACTTACTGCTCAGATAAAGTAAAAAAGTGAGCGTGAACGTTTTTTAAAGATATTTTATTATATGTATGACATATTAATATTATAATTATGTACACATTAATTATATAAGGTAATAAATGAATCATGACGTCCATATATTTATTTATATGCTTTTGTAAATTCATTTATAGTATAGATATTAGGTTGTAACAAAAATGTACACAGGCGTGCTTATCCCTTAAAGGGATCTCTTCCAGTCAACCTTGAGAACCCGAAAAGGGAAAGTGTCTATAGAGTCTGTCCATTTGTGTAATGTTTGAAAGATGACATACTTTTTATCCCAATAAGAAAAAATTAACCCTGTAAGGGGGCGTCAAAATAGTTCTTGGTGGGTCACTCAGTTATAAATATTTAGCATTTATTGCCATTCGGCCCATATAAGTAAATATAAAAATAATGTATCAGCGCGAGGCGAATACCACAATGGAGGCCGAGCGCGCGACTTCGCGACAACTCGAGGACGACATCGGCTCAGTGCTCGCCGGCGTGCAGCACAGCACGGGACTACTGCTGCACACTGTTATTGACAAGGTCGAGGTAAACATCGGCATTATAACTACTATTTATAATAACGGTGGCGCCCTCTGGTGTCAAGTATTCTTTCGTTTTATTTTTTATATATTTATTTAAATTCATGTTTCTAACGCTAAGTAGCTCTGCTTGCTTAGCTTAACAATTAATAAAGCAACAAAATTAAAATGTATGGAGGCATAAAACCATAGTTTTTAGAAAAGGGAACATATGTGTATATATAGCTACAGTTCTGTCCCAACTATCTGGATGAGTGGGTGTCCTCCGTGTGTTTTTCAAGGTATTTCCTTACACATACAACCACCCTTTGGAATCATCTTCCAGCAGCAGTATTTCTGATCCGATACGATATTATAACCTTGAAGAAAAAACCATACTCCTTTTTAAAAGGCCGGCAGCACACCTGTGACGGATACCATTTTCCTTCTGGTGAACCATCAGCTTGTTTGCCATTCAAATTTGGATACAAATTTTCGACTCTTTTTTTCTTAAATAAAATTGTTCGGTTTCACAAATACTATAACTTGATTTTGGTTCATTATGCGCCCATTTCCGTATGGCTTTTTTTATACCACTGAAGTGGTAAGCATACGGCCAGCCTGATGATAAGTGGTTACAGTAGCCTATGAATACCTGCAATACCAGGGACTTTGGCTTTTCAAATATAATCTAAAACTGCACCATTCTAAACAGGCTAACAGCACGTCGACAACACAAGAGCTATCAGCTCTCGCCACCACGACTGGTGAATTGATAACACTGTCGAAAGAGAACATGGATGCTCAGTCGTCACTTGTGACGGAAGCGCAGACGGCCATGACAGAGTTCGAGTCTGAATTGACGGAGGCGGTCGAAAGGCATGATAAATTAGAGGAGAAATACCTCTCGCAAGAGTTCAAGCCTTATTCTCCCACTGGTAAGTTAGAGGTTTTTTTTTTTAATTTTACGATTGACATATTGCATGATTTATGTTTTTTTTTTTTTTAAATTGAAATTGAGGTTCTTGATACGGTTATATATATATATATATATATATATATATATATATATATATATATATATATATAACTTAATGTATTGCATTTCATATATATATATATATGAAATGCAATACATTAAATCTTTCTTTTGTAGCAGACTTTATTGGTGAATTAATAAATATGTATGTATGTATGTGGTGTGTGTGTGTGGTTGCAGGCACGACTCCGCTGCGCGGCGAGTACTCGTTCCCGCGGTCGCTGGCCGCCACCTCGCCGCACCACCGCATCCTCGCACGCTTCCGCGCCATGCGCACTGCCTCCACTCAGGATGATGTACGTACGACCACATATTAGTGTAACACTATTACACAATTTATTATTTAAACAATTGTGTGTACTGTTAAAAAACAACCATAAACTACGCCAACGAAATGGAGTGGCGACTTCAAAATGATTCTAAAAAGTTTAAAATAGCTCTAAAAATTTTT